GCCCGCCGCCGCGCCGCTCTACCCGCCGCTCGGCCTCAACGGGCTCCCGCAGCTCGGCTACCCCGCGGCGGTGCTCAAGGACGGGCTGCCGCAGGTCTACCCGCCCTATCTCAACTACCTGAGGTGAGCGGCGGAGCGGGGCGCGTTTGCGCTCTCCGGGCCGGCCTCCCCCGCCGCGGGCTCCGACCTAGGGCCGCCGTGGCCCCGCAGTGCGAGCGCCCAGTCGGGGCTGCGCGAGGTGACCCTTCCTCGGAGCGGATCCCTGCACGGCACGGGTGTCGGGCGCCCTGCCCGCGAGGGTGGGACTCCAGGGGTGCGGGGCGGCGCGCAAAGCAGATTGGGGTTTGGACGCTTTAACCGCTGGGTTTCATGAGAATCTCAGGATTCAAATTAATTCTCAACGTGGTCTATTTACCAAAGGCTTAAACATCGTCACTGCAGTGCGCTGTAGTCTGATGTTTTGCATTCCCCACAACTTTTGTCATGCATAGTTTCAAGAGCGTTTTAGTTACATGCCGGAGTAATGGAATGTAAGAGAAAAGAATGTTCAGCTGGTGGCCTTTACTGCTGTGAACCGGCAAAACAGTGCGTAGAACCGCACAGTCACACAGCACATGGACCTGAACAGTCGTTACAGGACTGTTTGCAAAACTCAGAGCAGGCACTGCTGATTGAACGCTTAACGCCAAACCGTGCTGTTACCTGGCGCGCAGGAAGGGCAGGCATATCATCCCATTGGTCAGTCTGAATTGCTCCTATATTAGGACTTCTGAGGAAAGATTTGTTGCACGGACAGACAGATGTTAGCTTTCGTGAATGTACAGCGCTACAATAATCGCTGTTCTTGTGTGCTGGTTCTACTGGTGGAGGCTGATACCTTGCCAGGCTAGTGAGCCGAATGGCAGGGGGTGTGTTAAGCGAAGCTCAGGGCGTATCTATCACGTTCCAAGAGTGTGTGTATGTAATACAGTGCTGTTTAAACATCCCCTGTCACCTTGTGAGTGCCGGCTTAGGAAGGCTACAAACGCAGCGCTGTGTTTTGTGTTTCAAGGCCGGATTCAGAAGCCAGCCAGAGCCCGCAGTACAGCTTCGAGTCGCTGCCTCAGAAGATTTGTCTTATCTGTGGAGATGAAGCGTCAGGCTGTCACTATGGTGTCCTTACCTGTGGGAGCTGTAAGGTCTTCTTTAAGAGGGCGATGGAAGGTAGGCTTCTTTTTAACTGATTCCCTGTTACTGGTTTGTCACTGGAGATCACCTAATATTAATTATCCTTTGTTGCTTCTGAGAAATGCCGGTATTTCCCTGTAAGTTAAGGTGTATGGTGACACAACAGTAATATTTACTGTAATACTCAGCAGTGAGTGCGGTTGTGTATCATAACTTCGTACTCCTTCAGGAGCCAACACAAGTCATAATAATAATGAGGACAGTGCTGCTATCATGCAGTAACTAGTAGACTTCCAAAAACAGCTTGTTTTGATGATATTTGAAATATGCATTGACCATATATGTAAAATAATTTTAAATTTTGAATAAAAGTGCTATAAGTTGTAATAATATATGTATATGGGTTATATATACATATGCATATATAGCACATATGTATGATATAGTTAAATATGTAACACATATACATACATGTACGTATATATACACAAAACATTATATGGTGCAATTACAAATTTTGTACATGATTTCATGTTTTCCCTACATGAGTATTTATTTGTGCAATGGTAATTCCAAACAAAAATCTTGAATTCCCTCTTTGTTTAGTACATTTTTAAGTACATAAGAAGAGGAGTAAAATGTAGGAGCAAAATATTTAGAACAAATGAAAAATGTGGACATCATAGTAATGTAATTTCTGAAGTATTTTGCTTTAAGTAAAATGTGCACATTTTACAAATCCTTTAAATTTCATATTTATCGAATGATTTTGGGTTGACTTAATTAATGCGAGTTACTAAGCAGCCAAACACATTTGCATGTGAAGATTAAAAACCATTTATAGACCGTTTTACATCTGCGTATTATCGTGAATGTGTTTTATAAAAGGCTGAAATGAAGTGCTGATACCACACCTGGACTTAGTCTCTAATGTCAGCTTTCTAATTCACTATTTCTGAAGTTTTCTGATTTCAAGAGCCTTTGGCTTATAAGCAGCAAGGGAGGAAGTGGGGAATTTTCAGAGTAAAAAAATGTGCTTTGTATAGTTTTAGAATTTATCAGCATATTTAATTGATATGAACTGTGTTCATCTTCAAGAGGGCTAATTGCGTTTGACCTAATGGAGGCACTGTTAAAAGAGGACACTTGAGGACGTGGGCAGGGAGGTGGCTGGGCTCTCCCGTGTGCAGAATGCAGCCGAGTAAAGGTGCAAGGTCTTCGCGTGGGAAAGTTGGTTCTACGGGGATTAGAGGTGCCACTTCTTCTCACTTTGACTTCTGTGCCATTCCCTTCTGCATTATGAATTCCTCCATTCATACCATCACCTTAAAATAATATAATCTTACAAGTGGGTAATCCCTTTAGAATCTGCAAAAGATCAGTTTATTAGAGCTTAGCTCCTTTTTACAGATAAGCAAATCTCAAGGACATAAATCTGATTCCTAGACATCACACAACTGCTTAGTCAGTGATTCATAGTAAACACAGGCTAGATATTTTGAAGTTATGGTGCTTATCAATTGGAAGTGTTATGTGCAGATATGCACCACTTACTTCTCAGAAGTTCCTTCATAAAGTGGATATATAGAAAAAAGAGCATTTCAACTATAAAATATAAATGTTTTCATATCATCATTAGAATAGCATCCCAAATTGTAAAACATATTTGCCAGTTTACCCTTAGAAAGTATTTGTGGAATTTTTATTGTTGGCCTGGTCCTATTTGAGTTCTTCAGTAGGACAGATGAAGCACCTTTACCCAGCAGTATTTACAAAGAAGTACTTTAGATAGGTATTGAAAAATCATCCCTGAAGCTAGAGCAAGGTTGTAACCCTGAGCAAATTATTCATTCAGCGTTGTTCATATACCTCTTATATTTGCCTTTGTACTGAAGATACTGTTTCCCTAAATTCATCTCCACCTGGATTACATACAGTGATGATAATAACAGTTCATACTTTTTAGAGTTCATATGAAGATTAAATGAGTAAACATATATACGGTAGTTAAAAGAATGCCTCCCATATTGTTAGATTCCAGTGATGTCCCTTTTACCTTCCAGGAGCTTATGATACAGTTGGGGAAGTAACTTGTATGCACATCAAATATTGAAATATTCCCATTAAAGGGCCACATAAGTGATGTATAAGTGATTTGTGTGTTTATGTGTTTGTGCAGAGGGGAGGTGGTTGTGGTTGGAATTCACATGTTCTACAGCTTTGTGGAAGATGTGAACCTTCTGTGGTTATCTAAGAACAAATAAGATTTCCAAGCATTGAGGAGGGCTTTAAGTCTGCACATTCAAGGAAGTTGCATAAATTCAGATTAGACTGAATAAGACTCCAATATTCATATTAGAAAATTGTGAAAGTTAAAGGTTTGAAGGTTAGATTGCTAATGTTTGGATGAATTGGGGGAGGATCAGTGATTTAAACTAGGAGAATAGAGAGAAGTTTGTAGCAATGAGAAAAAGTTTCAGGAATAAGAGAAATAAGTAGGAGGACTTGCATAGTTAGAGAGAAATACCAAGTTTGAAACCTCAGAGCCAAGCATTGCTGTGTGATGAGCTGGTGCAAGGCAGAGCTCTGTGCAGCTGTCAGGATGGCCCCCAGCAGACAACCAGTAGGCAGCAATTGGGATCTTAATGGTTCCAGAGACAACAGTGGTAGTAGTGGCATTATGAAGTGGTTTCTATGTGCCAGTGACCTAGTGGTTTATAATCTCAGTTCGTTTAACCCTTATAACATAACTGTTATTCTTTCTCCCACTTGACTAACTGGGAATTAAGTTGCTTTAATCACAGGAAGTGATAGAGTCAAGATTCAGACTCAGGTGGTCTGGTGTCTGCTATCAACTGCCGCAATTCCTTTCTCCTGATAAAAAATGTGGTCAAATATGTTTCCTCGTGATGACGCATCTAGCAAGGTAAAGGGAGCCCTAAAGGAGAATGAAAATATGTGATTTCAACAGATGGCTCACATTAACTCCACATGTAGGGCAGTGAGAAGACACAGTCAAGGCTGAGAGCCAGTTTTCCCACCTCTCTTGCAAGTCAGGAGTGGAAAATGATGGAACCTAGAAAATCACCCCAAAACGAGGTTTCACTTAGTATATATGGCACAGAAGAGCAAGAGACAGAGGTAGAGAAAAAAGGTACCACTAAGGAAATAGAGAAGGGATTTTTCTTCAGCTAACTGAACTGTTTAAAACATGTTAACTGAAAAGATGGTTGAATAATCCATTGAATTCCCTTACCAAGACTTGTAGGTTTGGAGTGAACCAGAAAGTGGTCAAGAGCTGCTTAATGCCTTTCCAGATGAAGCGACCTGCCCTTCCTGCAAAGGCAGGCCAGCGAGCCGGCACTGGGAAGGCAAGAACCGTTTTCACTGCCTTGTCTCTGCATGCACTGTGACCAGATCAGTGCTAGGAAAACGTTAGACATTCATAAACAACTATTTTCTACATGAACCAGGCATAACTGATAATGCCACACCACACTCCTATTCTTTGGTTGCTGCACTCTGACCATATTTATAAAAGTACATTCGAGGTCATCTGGTTACACAAATATAGTGAAAATGTTCTATTCAGAAGACATGAAGCTGTGTAGGTACTGATGGTTTTTTAATTGTGTTGTATTATCTTTACTCTTATTCTTGTATTAATTTGTATGAAGTAATTAAGTAAATTAGTTTGGGTATTAATGTCCATGTACTATATTAGAACCTGGGGAAAATACAATAAAATACAACAGACCTGGCTGGCTACAGCTATGGTGGAGTTTATAGTACAGGGGGATGAGGGACATTTTACCAACTTATAAGCACATAACTAATTGAAGATATGCTTAAGTTATTAGACTGTGCAAGAGACTGACAACTAGAGAATTGACACCTTACCTCCACCCCAGTCAGAAGCTGGATATAGTGTAGTAACTCAGAATTAGAGCTATTATTATAAATAGGCCTCAGAGGAAACTGAACAGAAATGAACTATTTTCATGACTAAGTTGCTCTTTCAGGAACTGACTATATAGTTGGTATCGTAAGCTAACAGGGAAAACTGATTCAGTAGCATAGTTCTTGATATGGATTCTGAAAAAGCAAAATTAAACATAAGATTTCTTTGTTAACAATTTCTTTGTATGTTTCTTTTCCTGCATTTAGATTGCTGTAATTCTTTTGCTATCTTTGGTAGAAAGATAGAAAAATACACAAAAAGATACACAAAATTATCCCATTCTACTATAATATATTTGATTAGTAGTTGGACTCTTAAGAAGATATTTCACCAATAGTCTTATGTAGTTAACTTTCCAATAGAGTCTACCCTTTGGTAGTGCTCCCATTACTCTAAAAATAAGTATGTAGTGATTCACTAGACTTCATTTCAAAACTTTAGCCAATTTCTTTTCAACCTTCAGGTTTTCTAGTTTAATATTTAACATGAATAATAAACTGGTTTCAAGAACAAATTTACATTACATCCCATTGAAGTAATCCTCCACTATACTAAAAAAGAAGTAGTTACAAAGAGGGTGTTTGGTATTTACCCAGTATTTGGTTATGGAGCATTCTCAAGTTATTAATGCTCCTTTAGAGTCTGTGTACTAACAGCTCTTCAGAAGCCATCGGGAAAACAGGAGGACCTGACATCCATTCTAGTGTTAATAGCTGTGTTTTTGCTTTGGCCATTGAGCCCCGGACCAGTATATTCTCCTTCAAAAATTGAAACATTACCAATAAAGCTTAATGCCTTTCTATTCAATATCACTAATCTTTTTTCCCTCCCATAAAATTTTTAAGATCTTTTACCTTTGTGTGAGTGCGTGTGTGTGTGTGTGTGTGTATGTAATATATTGTTTAGGTTATGTTAGTACATAGTATAACATCATAGGTGTCACATGTCAGACCTTTTACATACAGTGACTTGTGTACTGACATGTGTATAGTTCTAACTATACTTTACAAATTGAAAAAACTCTTCTCTAGGTATTACTAGTTATACCATTACCCTAGTAAGCATTTTTTGCACT